CACTTCATCACTGGCAAATCCTCGTGCACGAGCGCGCACTTTGTATGGCATACATGCATGCATGCATACTGTACATAGATTGAAACTTCCCCCAGCCCAGCCGGTGCTGCTACAGATTTGACCTCATGAGTTATATGTTAATGAAGATGGATGTTTGGTTTGCAACATGTTATTGATTTGATACAAATTAAATGCAAATTGTATTGAACTATGTCGATATTTTGGTGAGCGATGTGTGAACATTGCTTTCCACTGAAGAATCCTTCACAAGTGCTTTCTTTGGAAGGGGAAACTGGCAACTGGCTAGCATTGAAAATTGCCGCCAAACATGTTGGGTCTTGAAAGGTCCATTCAATATGAGGCTCTATTGGTATAGTTCTCCGACAGAATAGCCGGGGAAACAAGCCAACAAATGGAGATGGCCAAGCATAGGAGCAGCTTTGGTTGCATTAGATATCCACTTGCCCTTGCTTGCTGTAGGTCAAAGCGTGCCAAATTTTCAGTCATTGAGACTCAAGCAAAACTACATGAGAGAAAAACACAGTGCCTTTGAAGTTTGACTGGTTGTGAAGAGTTTTGAGTTGTGCAGGAGTACAACATCGAGGTGGGTGTGGGAAAGCTACAGCCCTTTTACGACGTTCACAAGAGACTTCCAGCAGGACACTTGCGTTCAAAACCGCTTTGTGGTGCCTGCGCCGGGAAGAAAAGAAAAGATGCCGCAAGCTGGTTGCTTTCAAACAAACATTCTGTGGCCACTGAGCTATGTCCATTTCGCACAAGCAATGTTTCCTTACAGATGAAGAGGGAATGCGGAAGAGGTATTTCTTCGTCTTCCAGTTTGTGCTCGATCTGTGTTTGAACCCAAGATGATTGTTGCAGAGTTATATAGCTTCTCCTGGAGTCCTCAGGTGGCATTCTTTGGGAAACCCTTCTTCATGCGTGTGACTTAGAAGTCTGAAAAGTTTACTTGCACTGTCAGCACTGTGCGCATGATAATGTATTTCTGTGTATTTCTTAGATCAACTGCGATGATATCCCTGCAAACCTCGCCTCTGGTGCTGTCCGCCCATTTGTCCTGATCTCAGTTTCAGGTTTGATTGCAGATGCGACGTAGCCAAACAGAAGCAAATGAAACAAGTCGAGGACTGATTCAGGTCAGCGAGAAGGTAGATCTTTCTTGAATAATTACAGGATTATGATTATGTAGTCTTGTTGCATAGGTTCCAGCAGGGAAGGATATACGTATACAACAATATATAATACAGGTCAATGTACATATAAGCATGCTACCTCTGAAGAGATTGAATCCGAAGGCCATCTTTGTATGTATATAAATGTAAAGGTAAAGATTTGATTTAGTTTCGTTTGCCTCCTTTCCACGGTGTATTTCCAGGGTTATGGTGCCCAAACTCCCAAACTCATGGCTTCTCAGCTCACCTTCCTTAGGCCTGTGGCATCGAGCGTTCCTTGTGGACAATTACGCTCCTCCTCGTGACTACAATGGAAGGCACATTTTCGCTGAAAAGGGAAGTGTGTTGACTTAGGGAATCTTATGGACTTCATGGTCCCAGTCTTTAACTTCTGTTGCTTATTGAACATGGTTGGGTGGCTTAGTGACTTTGTGCCTGTTGGAGCCGTTTACACTCGTGTGATATGCTGGCGGAAGGCTACTGTCTTTTCATTCTGCATTGCTACTGCGAGGCCGGAAATCAAAGAGTAAGGCTATCCCCAAAAAGCTCTTCATTGCACCACTCGCAGGATGTGATGGTGTCCGTTCCGACAAAAGCTTTCGAGGACTTGTACAACAGAACAGAGGTGACGGAAGAAGCATAAAGGACATTAAAATCAGAATGTTTTCTGGATATTTGCTGAAATCCTCGGTCATTTGTCACTATGCAGATGTCCAGAATGTTGACCACTAGAGTGGCAGAAGGTAGCCTGGGCTGTTGCACTTCACAGCGCTGGCAGTCCCACTTCCTGGCCAAGCACTTGAACCCCTATGACCACCTATATGGTGCGCTTCCAGGCAAGATACCAACTACTAGCAATTGTGAACCGACAAGGGCATGGCTGTTTCATTCATGGAATTTGCTTGCTGCAGATATATAGCCAAGTCACCAGTGACTTCAAGACGTCAACATCATTTCCAGCGCCTGTAGGCCAACATGAGATTGCTGGTGAAGCAGTTATGGCAGTGGTTTCCTCAATGGTCACGTAAACTCGGATGTATCCTCTGTATCTTTCGCGGAAAGGGATCAAACTCACTGTTCCTCACGCTTTGGTTGGCCTTGTCTTGCCCAGGGCGTTCCGATGGGCAGCACCTACCAACTCTTTGGAGGTGCTTGTATGCAGTTTGAAGGGCACCTTGATGTATAACCATATCATACATCCATACAATGACAATCAAACATGCAGAGGTTTTGTGTGAATCAAATTGCGCAGGTACTTTCCACACGATGTCCTTTCCTCCAAGACACTGACCTAACCACTGAGTTGGTACGGACAAAAGCGCAATGCCTCATGGAAGAAAAGTGCTGGGATTGGAAGCCTGCGGGCATACCCTCGAAGCCGAAGATTCTAGATGTAGGCAGCACTTCCTGTAGATTGGAGGGTCTTCACAGGATCTTTTCATCTACATAATTACTTTTGTTGTTGCACAGAGCACACCTTTCAATGAACGCATTTCTGCAGCTGTGCGACAGTCAATCATCAATTCCATGCAAAGATTGTGTGAATTGCAGTTTTGTCTTTGCAAGTCTCTTTTTCAGGGAACTCCAAGGTCGCGCCAGACATGATCATCAGGAGGGGGGCTGTCCTGTGCACATACTCAACCAAAGGCTGTGAAGGTAGCGTCTAGAATCTAAACCTACATATTTCTTGTCTCGCAGCATCCTCCAGCCCCTGCAGGCTGAGGGAGCATAGATTGAGAATTGCCATTGCTGTGGAAAGAACAAGGCACCTGTGCAGGCACACGAAATGGCCCTTGACAGTGTGTACTGTATGTGGGCTGGTGTTCTTCCATGGAAGATGCAACAGCTTTGTTGGCCAACACTTGTAAAAACAATTTACATATATTACAGTATTGATATATGCGCTATATAACCATTAATAAATACAAGTCAAGTCTGAATGTTGGAAGCCAAGCTTGTTGAAGTCAGAGGTCGGACACCAAGCCCGGTTGTGTAGCCTATTTTGAATGGAGAGACCACTGTTTGTTCCGTTCTTTATTGAATGCCATGACCGATCAAACAACCAAAAGTGTCCTTGCCAAAGAAACTATAGGTATAATTTATATAGTTTGTGACACGGCTGGTGAAGGAGGCTTGTCAGACCTCACATGTCCGTACATAACCAGTTTCACCGCATGATTTTTTTTTTGGCAGAACGTTTATTGGCCATTTTGTTGGGCTTGTGATCTACATGTTCGTGGCGGGATGGACATGCGGAATGGTTAATGCTTTGGCACCAAAGTTTGTGCTGGCTCAATCACGATTGGGGAAAATTTTACCTAGACCGCTGGCTGTAGTAATCAGTAATCTTTCAGTCGTTGAGGGAGCTTGGCTGCTTGACACTTCACATCCAAACATTCTGTATGCTCCATACAATCGTGGAAATCATTCTGGAGCAAGGGGTCTCGCTCAAGAGCCTTGGTACTTGGTACGGCTGGTGCGTTGAATCGATTCGAACCTCAGCCAGAAATGCTCAAGGAGACGTGCGTCGATTCGATTGATTCGATGCGTCTTAGTCAAGGACATGTCACATATTCCTCGCGACGGTGCGGTGCGATCACTGATGTATGTGGCGGCACGCTTTGAGAAGGACTGTTGGGCAAGCAAAAATTGAATTGTCCCTTCCACCCACTGCCTTCCTTCAGCCAAAACACAGGAATACAAAGAGACGCAAAAAGTGTGGGTATATATATATATATGGCTCTTATAAAAGTTTATTAAAGGGGCCCTTCTCGTTTTCATTCATCTTCCTTTCTTGTTTAACTTTTGTATTGCACATATCGAAATTGGGTTCCTGGCACTTTTACGTATTTGTCAAACAAGAATCCTTGTGTCCCAGAGCCGAAGAAGCTGCTTCAGGTCACCCACAGTAGTGCATGGTGAATGACGGTGACGGTGTTCTGCCTAGCTACTAGTACAGAGTTTATGCCTTTCGAGAGCTTGGTTAGGATAGATTCAATGGTAAACGGTATCACTGCTGTGGTGGACCCTGCAATTGGTTTTGCACTGGTTTGGGACATTTGCTATACTAGGAATCCCCGTGCCCAGTGGCTTCGCAGCAAGAGAAGTATAGCCTTGAAAGAAGCAGCAGAATTGGGTGACGCCTTGAATGAAGCAGCGGAGTTGGGTGACGTAAAACGGGCGGAAGATATTTTCGAAGCTTCTTGGATCATTTTGGCAACTTCCTAAACTCATAACTGAATGCCCACTGCCACGCGCATGCTTTATATCTCCAATGGTGCACCGAGGTGTTGTTCCCACTGACCCCTTCCAACAGTCACACAAAGATCAGCAACACCTTGCTGAAGGCCTGGACTTTTGAAGAGTTCCTTGTTGAAAGATCCTTGAGAGTGGGCTGCGCTTGCTCAGGCATATGCCAACCGTGGAGCAGCTAGCAAGGCGGCAGCCTGGCTTAGCCAAATGACATCATCGAGAGTGCGGACAAATGCGAAGACCGAACCTATCTTGTCCCTTTGTTTTTGGGGGACGAAAGGTAGGGCAGTAGCGAGTGAGTTGTAGAGAGGAAGCTACAAGTAGCAGGACATCGTAGAATCCTTGCTGAAGGAAACAATCTGTAGAGGCAGTCTGACGTAAATTGCACTTTACATGCAAAGTGCGTCCTACACGTACATAGTACAGTTTTTCGTTTGCATCAAATTCTTCAGCTTAGTTAGTTAACTCAATTTCGACTTTCCAGGACATATGGAAAAGTGATCGAGGCCTTTGCAAAGGGGGGGCGATCTAGAGAGCGCCCTGACCTTTTTGGCACGCATGAGCCAGTTCTTCACACCAGATATTGGGCAGCACTTTAGGCACAAGCGAAGACCGGGACCGAGCTCGCATTTATTGTTGATTATTTCATTTTTTGCAAAGCGCACCCATAAACCCGTATATGGAACCCAACCTTGATTGCCAATGACTGATCAGTGGCTTGTTGATGATGCTAGACATTGGACATCGGTGTTTTTGTTTATTCTTTTCCAATTTTTTCGCAGTGTTTTGTGTTGCAAACGACTGAGAATTCGATCACTCTTCACATAGTGATAGATGCAGCAGCGCAGGCGTCCTGGTTTGGATTGTAATCATGTGCGACCACACACGCACTTGCCATCCTTTTGAGCAACTCCATTGTTTATAGACGCAGCCGTTCTCTTGACACTTTGAGACTTTACAGTTCCTTTTTTTGTGTATTCCTTTTGGACTTGAATGCCTGTTCTCGTCAGCATTTGACAAACTCAGGCAGGTCTTGTGCCAGAGACAGAGGCCTGTGACTGCAATCAAAAAAAATACCAAGTGCTGCCAGACTTCCAGACCTTATATACTGCTTGGATCAACTGGCTGATGTTCTTTGAGGCCTTGGTACTTGGCCTGCAGCATTGCAGAATGCCACCGTCCATCGAGAGCTATGGCAGCCTCATACATGCGTATGCAAAGGCCGAAACCTGGGGGCTGTAGGTTCCGCATCAAAGACGAAGCTTTGAGATACAACCATCGCCATTAGGTTGGAGGCCGTCGCTAGTAGGTTGGAGGCCATTGCTACTAGGTTGGAGGCCATTCCTATTAGGTTGTGCTCAAGGCCTCGACTTCACTCAGAACAAAGCAGTAAGGAAGGATGGTGATTTTGATTGCAATTGGGAAGTGCAATTTCAATGTTCCTAGTAACGATGGCCTCCAACCTAATAGTGAGCTTGATTGGACAAATACTACACAACCCAGCAACACTCCATCCTATAAACCCCAAAGGCTCTCATGATGTCTTGGGACCCAACTTGTGTTGTTCTTGCAGACCAGTCAAGCGGCAGAAGCTCTTAGCGTCCTTCAGCGGATGCAGCAGATGCAGATGAAACCAAATCGAATCAGCTACAGCGCAGCTCCCAAGCTTTGCATCTAGTGTTTCTGCAACCAATAGCTCAATTTTAGATTGACAATATGCTGCATTCCGCCTGCTAAGCAGCAGGTGCTTGTCCTTGGAGAGGGTAGGCAGCATTTGGTGGCACATCATCAACAAAACACTTTGTTTTGGCAGCCTAAACTGGTCCTGCTGAGGCCATTGATGCCTGTAGCAGAGCAGGACAGCCTGAAGCTGCCATCAAAGTACTTCACTACATGGAGGGTCAAAACATCTCTCCAGATTTGGTGGCCCTCTCTTGCATTGTCAATGCCTTTTCTCAGCTTGGCAAGGTGAGGGCACTTTAGCAATAATTTCTAATGCTGAGAAATCATGTCAAATCATCAAATCTTAGTTCACCTGTTCCTAGGCGGCAGACGCTGCCAAGTGGCTTCAGAAAGCAGATGAGCTCGGGCTGAAGCCGAATGTCATTACTTACAACAGTGTCATTCATGCCTGCGCACGAGTCGGGCATCCTAAGCAGGCTTGCGCAAATCCCCTTAGCTTTGGATCAACAGAAGAGTTGGTGACAGCAGAGTGACATTTCAACTAAAAAGTGAAAGGACACCCAGCTTTGCGCAAGTTTGAACCATGATTCTGAAGGCCATCCGGTGGCTTGAGGGAATGGTGACAGCAAAATTGCAGCCAGATGTTTCTTCTCACGGTGGTGTTCTTGATGCCTTTGCCAAGAATCTTAGAACTTGAAGTCTGCATGATCTTTGATAGGAAACTTGATTGGTCCTGACTGACAGTACTGAGCATTTGGCTATATATAGTTTATACTACTTCCTTTTTTTAGCTTCAAGAAGAGTCTGAATGTGTTTACAACAAGAGTTTTTGTTAAATATGTGCTTTCTTATTCTATCTATGTCACCATGATAGAAGTCCGCATTTGAGGAAGGGGGGGCCCACTTTCAGATGCACAGCATTGGTTCAACAAGCTTGCGTCAACTTACATGCCTGGGGCGGCGTCTTTCACTTCCATGTTTCTTGGCAAGAGGGGTAATCCACTCGATTCACGCCAAGCCTCGTCCTCCTCCCACGAGCCTTGCCGAAACGCGAAACTGAGAAGACGTAAGAGGAAAGCTGTAAGATTCTAGATATATAAGTTAAGAGAACAACAAGAAATAAAGAAAGGAACCACCGAAATCTCCACGACTCCACGTGGTGCACCGCGGCACACATCAAGCACCGAGGATCTTCGTTTGTGCCCGGTCGGCAAAGACTTATGAAGCTGCTGAATGGCTCCGACGTGCGAAGGTGAGTGAGATTCCACTAGATAGCGGGTGGCTTGGGCCGCAGCATGATTAGTATTCGGTCGCTGCGTGCTGCAACGACTTACCATACCCAAGATTTCATTTCAGTAGTTCTTCCATGTTTGTTCGCATTCGATGCTTGTGGAAGGCCTTACAATGCTATGATCTCATCTGCAGCACAGTCTCGTGAGCCTGACTTGGCACTTGGATACCTTGAGGAGATGATGGCTGCATTTCTCCAGCCGAACATCATGACGTTGCGGGGCCGCATCTACGCCAGGGAGGGAGCAAAGACAGAGAGACAGAACAAAGAGAGGCAAAACTCTTTTAAAGCCCGATCCCTTGTTACTAGTAGCTGCTACCAATAGCGATGCACTTGTTACTAGTAGCGATGCCCTTGTTACTGTAGTGGTTTCTTGCTACTAATAGGGGTGCGTTTGTTACTAGCAGCGATGCCCTTGTTATTACTAGCTTCTAACTACTAATATAGCGATGCACTTGTTACTAGCAGCGATGCCGGCGATGCCCTTGTTACTAGTAGCTTCTTGCTACTAATAGTGATGCACTTGTTACTAGTAGGGATACCCTTGTTACTATAGTGGCTTCTTGCTACTAACAGGGATGCATTTGTTACTAGCAGCGATGCCCTTGTTACTATATAGTAGCTTCTTGCTACTAATAGCGATGCACTTGTTACTAGCAGCGATGCCCTTGTTGCTATATA